ATATTAATTTTATTTAATTTCAAATTTACATAGTTTTTTAATAAATCCGTAGAAAAATATCCATTGCTAAATACAGCTGAAAAAACCAGTTGCATTAATTTTATTAATTAAAATAAAAGTTTTCATATGAATTTCTTATTATGCACTCTGCTGGAACAGATAACACTTAGTTCTTGTATGTAATACGAGTACATACAAATTGTTACCTAATCTTTTGCCTCTAACCTAACTGATAGCCCGCGCAAAATACAGCATAAAGACAATATTTATAACTTAACCTTATCCTTTTATGGCTTCTGGAGGTCTATCTATGATCTTATTGGTCAACACCTAGTAAATTTGTTCACTTTTGTCATTTTCACTACATTGCATGATACAGAATCAGTTTGGCGATGTTAAGTGTAAAGAATCAAATATCGATTAATCGAAAAAAAAATAAATCGGTTGAAAATCTCGATTAATTAAAAAAAAAACTATCAGTTATTTCGATTAATCGATAAATCTCGCCCATCCTTAAACGCTATTCCTCCTGCATCACCTCCTCTGGAATTTTCTCTGACCTTATTAATCGCAGTATATCCACCTACTCTAAATTTGTCTTCTATTTTGGCCTTAGTTTCGTATATCACAGATATGTCGTAATCTCTAATCCTCTTATTTAATTCCTCCTTTTTATTCTTCCAACCTCTTGCGTTTTATATTAAAATTTTTATACCCATTGTGATTTTATGTTTAGTAGGATTCTTCCTCTTCATCTGTATTAATCATACTTTGATCCTTTTGTCCATTTTCACTATCTTTGTTGTATGGAACTTCTCTGTTTTTTTTGCTATGATTTTCTTCTAAATATCTATTTCTGCTTGTTATTCCTTTTTTGTCCTTTCTTTCTAACAATTTTAACCTACGTTCTGCTTTTTTTTGTTCTCTTCTTATGTCTCTGATCTATTTTTTTTTGTTTCCTCAATTTCCAAATTTGAGTCCGAGTAGTTTCTTTCTGCTACTCCACTCTGGTCTATCTCTCTTCTTCCCTGTCCCTACGGAAAATAAGTATTGAGGCTCATACTTAGTATTGAGATTGTAATACTTAGTATTCAAATTGTAACACCGAGTATTAAGAGTCAGTATTGGTCAATACTAAAGTATTGAGTGAGTTAAGTATTGAATACTGAATATTGACAGTCAGTATTGGTGAATATTAAGTATTAGAGACTAGTATTCGTCAATACTTAAGTATTAAGGGAGATTAAGTATTGAAGAATACTTATTATTGCAGTCCCCTATACACAGTGCCCCAATCAGCAGACAATATTTTAAAAATGTTTTTTAAATATTTATTTTTGATTAATTATACATTTAATGCAAAACATGTTTATTAAACATTAAAATAATATTTATTTTACATTTATATTTCATTTATAATTTATATATTAAATAAACATTTAAAAAATAATTATTTTATATTAAATTTACATTTATTTTATATTTACTAGTTATTTTGCAACAAACATTTAAAAATCATTTGTTGAACGTTTGTTTAATATTTCTTTTATATTTAATTTTTATTTATTTCATATTTACTAATCATTTTGCAACGAAAACTTAAAAATCATTTTTTTAACGTTTGTTTCATATTTATTTTATATTTAATTAACTATTTATTTTATATTTATTAGTACATTT